GAAAAGGAGCACTCACTATCTGTAAAAAAGAAGCCTCTTTATATACGACTAGAATTCATGGGCAATATACCAAGAGAGATAGTTGCGAAGAAATTAGGAAAGTCAGTTGAAAGAACTTTTAATGCTGGCGAACTACACGTCTTATTCTCTACACGACCGGTGGTGATTCCTCGACTGAAAGATGAAGTACCTAGACTATCCACTTCCAATTGTGTCTATCAATTCAGCTGCGCTTGTGGAGCCAGTTACATAGGCCGTTGCTCTAGGAACTTGATTTTTCGTGCTCTCTCGAGAACATCTCCCAGCATAGCTAAGTAAAGGTGTAGTGAAAACTATTAACAGCTCGATATTGGAACATCTGGTGCAAACAGGCCACAAAGCCAACGTAGATGAATCCTTCTCTATATTATACCGGGCGCCTAATAAATTGCTAAAATCATCGAAGCATCCACCGCATGCTCCAAACAGCAGAGGCTATTGCGATTCGCCTCAAACAACCAGTGCTCTGTGTCCAAAAGAAGCAAGCCCACCCCTACTATTGCCCTGGCCTTCAGTAGAAGCTATAAACTCATGAATTTGTACTATTATCTTTCCTAATGTTTCTGACATTCAGCTTATTTTATGTTGACGCGATTCAGCTGTAATCTATCAATATTATTGATTCGACGTTATTTAAACGGCAACAATAATGTTGTTCATAACACTAATTCATTCATTCATTCACTATAATTTATGTTTAAATGTAGAGCCTGATGATGAATTTATCGAAAAGAGTACTCTTTGTTCAGTATCCATTCTTTTGAAAATTTTAATGGGCATTTTTAGTCAATTTAACAAATGTGAAGAGGGTGTGAAAATATACAAAGGAGCATATGAAACTGATAGTAGTGAATTAATTATTAAAGCAAAAGCAAACTAAAAGGAAAATTAAAGATTAAGAACAAAGGAAAAAATCAAAAATATTTTACAGGGAACGATAAGTGAAGAGGTTAAGACCAAGGTAGAATAAGAGACTGGACAAACTTTCTTCTGTATACTGAGTTCAGGGTTGTATTGATGTATTTATTGCCAGCGCCTCCGCCATACACAAAAGCCGAAACCTGATGCCCTTTCTACCATTTGGCTTCACTTTGTAGATGATGTTGAAAGACGACTCTGGTGGAGCTACGTGACCTGAGTTCACCAACTGCTCGAGAATTTAGCTAGTAGCAATGGGGTCACTATTGGGTCCTTTACTGCCAGATTGCTTCTTGGCCAGTTTGGAGAATACTATTTTACGGCCTACTGTCGACAGTTTCCATCTGTACTAAAGATACATGGATGATACTTTCATCATATGTGACGACAATACTGACATCGAATTGATAACTAAGGAGTTCAACAGCTGCCATCATGCCATCACATTCACGTCGGAATCAGAGATTAACTCGGAATTCCATTTTTTGGATGTTTTTCTAAAGAGGAGATCGGATGGCTCTCTTCAAAGATCAATCTACAGGAAACCAACATGGAATGGTCAGTACACAAATTTCCATAGCTGGGTCCCTTTAAGAAGAAAGAGAAATCTGATCCATTCCTTATCCTCAAGAATAAGGAGGATATGTTCAAGTGATACAATCGATGTGGAATTGGAGCGACTCAGACAAGTTCTCATAGAGAATGGATATCCTCCAAGATTTATCGAGAAAAACATGAAGTTAAGAGAAAAGCCTGAAAGAATCCAGACTGTGCCGAAGAAACTGCTCTTTATGAGTATTGAATTTAAAGGTGATACAGCAGCTGAGATCTTGAAGAATCGCTTATGCAGATCACTGAGGAAAGCCCTCTTTATGGCTGAGCTGCGTATCAATTTCTACAGCCGACAAATGATCAACGGATGTGTGAAGGATAAACTGCCGCTTTGGGCCACTTCAATGTGTGTTTAAAAATTCACCTGCTCGTGTGGAGCTAGTTATATTGGTCGCCCGCACAAAGCGAACTCTTTCCAAACGCATCTCTGAACATTATCCGGCATGGTTGGCAAAGAGACAATGCAAGACAATTACTAGCTCAATTCTCGAGCATTTGATGAACTCAGGCCACGTAGCTCCACCAGAGTCGTCTTTCAACATCATCTACAAAGTGAAGCCAAATGGTAGAAAGGGCATCAGGTTTCGGCTTTTGTGTATGGCGGAGGCGCTGGCAATAAATACATCAATACAACCCTGAACTCAGTATACAGAAGAAAGTTTGTCCAGTCTCTTATTCTACCTTGGTCTTAACCTCTTCACTTATCGTTCCCTGTAAAATATTTTTGATTTTTTCCTTTGTTCTTAATCTTTAATTTTCCTTTTAGTTTGCTTTTGCTTTAATAATTAATTCACTATTATCATTCTCATATGCTTCTTCTGTACATTTCACACCCTCTTCACACTTGGTAAATTGACACACAAATACCTTTATTCTCACTCAAAAGCTATTTCAGCCTTATCAAACTTCTGTCTTTGTTCCGTTGAGTACCATGTAATTTATAACTTTTAACTTTCACTTCTAAAGCCACTTATGACTGATTATATCAATTATGTCACCCTCCCTATTACTCAATAATAGACCACTATACATTTCTCTAAGTATAAGTACGACTGTACCGCCTCTGAAGTTGATTTCGTCGATAAAGAAAATTTTCTTCGCTGAATCTAAATTTGTATTTCTTGGAAAGATGTTCAAGAGCAATGGGGACCCTGAAAGGTTCATCAACAAGTATGTAAGATCTGAAGTCACAAATGTAAGACAAATCACAGTGGGAAAAAAGCCAATCTACTTTCAGCTTGATTATAAAGATGAAAACATTGGAGCGATGATCAACAGAAGGCTGAGTATATCACTAGCCATAGCCTACCCTGCAGATAAGCTCGTTCCTGTCTATCGAACAACTTGCTCTTTGGTGTAATCAAAAAATTGATAGATATCCATCCTTCTCATGTTAACAACTTCAACTATAAATACAAATTTACACGTATCTGCGGGAGCAGTTACATTGGAAGGACAGAAAGAAGAGGGTCATATCTACGATTTTCTGAACATTTACCAAAAAGCTTATGTCTACAGCTGGGAACAAATGCTCTAAACAGTGCCATTACCAGGCATCTCCTCGACACGGGTCGGTTATGAGGTGGACGTCGAAAAGTCATCCAAAATTATCAAAAGGCAAAAGAGTTCATTTCTCCTCAAGTTCGCTGATGCCATTTCCTTCAAACGCCTGAAACCTGATTTGTGCATTTAGAAAGAAACAAATATCAGTCATTCTTTGCCCTGGTAACTAAATATTTTCATCTCTCTTTCATCTGAATGCGTAATGTTGAAAAGTTTCAATTGTGAAGGATTATTATTGTTCGAATTAGTGTTTAATATTGTATTTATATATATATATATATATATATATATATATATATATATATATATATATATATATAATTACTGAATGCAAATATTGTTCGATTGATTTTTGTTTAAAATGAACTCTGTGCAAGTATGTTAAAATTCTTTTCCAAAAGAATGGATGCTGAACAAAGAGTACTCTTTTTGATAAATTCATCATCAGGCTCTACATTTATACATACATTATGGTGAATGAATGAACTAATAATACATACTATAATGTATGTATAAATGTAGAGCCTGATGATGAATTTATCGAAAAGAGTACTCTTTGTTCAGCATCCATTCTTTTGAAAATTTTAATGGGGATTTTTAATCAGTTAAAATTCTTTTTGTAGATATATTCAATAATGTCTTTGCCCTGTAAGCAGTTGACGAGAAGGCAACGAAATAAACAATGATGGTGTGGTGAGAGCAGACTGCTAGCCAATTGGTAGACATTAATTTACGTCAATGTGTACGTCGCTAATATTGGCCGTGAGAAAATATGAACAAGACTGATTCAACAACCAATCACAGCAGACTTAACGTGGGCAAATACGATTCGCAGATATATGGCTTAACTTTCTGAGAAACCAGTCACAAGGAGTACAGAATAATCTTGAGCAAGAAACAACCGATCAAAAGACTGTGTTTGTCTGCTTGAATAAACTATAATAATGTACATGAAATATATATAAATACGTGTCGATTTCCTTAATAAACGATCTGTTGCCTGGCTCTTGTCTTCCGTTGTTACAATGGTACCACTTTATTCTGCTAAAACTGTAGTTCTTCCTTTGTTCAGATTCATTAAGGGGAATAAATGTATGAAATTTGTGATCACCCGTTAGAGTCTCCTTTATTCAGTCCCACATGATTCATCCTTCGAAGGTTTATCTACATGACAAAATAGAATCGCTCCAAAAGTTTACGCGTTTTCTTAACTTATGCATAGCCGAAGCTTTAGCTATATATATATATATATATATATATATATATATATATATATATATATATATATATATATATATATATATATATATATCCTTTACCTACCTACCTGGGAAGCATCGTTTCAACTACAGGCCGATGGAACTGACAAGGATATCAAAGCAAGACAAGCTTTCATCACTCTCAAGTCTGTGTGGAGGTCAACAGCACTACTCAGCATCAAGAATAAAATCCAGATTTTCAACTCCACTGTGACGTCAGTCAGTGGATCAGAGACTTGGCCAGTGTGTCATAAAGAGCACCTCAAACAAACTACAGACCTTCATTAACAGCTGTCTTCGCTCAATACTACTCAAGATCAGATGGCCGGTTAGAAAAGATCAGCAACAGATTGGGATCTCTGGCAATCAGCAAACCAACACAGCAGGAACTGATTATGCAACAAATAAGCATGAAGAAATGGAGATGGATTGCCTGGCCATACTTTGAGGCAACCATCAAGTGATATCACTAGACAAGCCATTGCTCGAGTGGAATGAGACCGAAAGGGAAGCGGCGAGTCAGTTGGTCGTCAGTGCAAGAGTGACTTTGAGGAGGTCATGTTCCTCTAGGAATTAAAGGATATAATAATATGAACAGAAACCTAAATTATGTGTTCAAAATATGTTTATTTTACAAAATCCGATAGAAAGAAATCAGGAATAAAAAGACCGTATACAAGAAATATACTCTTGTCATTCACATTATAAAATCACCATCATCATCGCATTTATTATTTCCTATCACAATACAATACGCACACACACACACAGTTACCTTTATTGTTTTTAAAAATAAAGAAAGCAACAACCAAACAGTGGAAATTATCAAAGTAAACAATTCGTCGGCGGCAGCGAAGGAGTAGGAAGAGGAGGAGGAGGAGTGAGTATTGCTCATAAGCAGATAACTGTCTCTCTGTTATGCGTGCGTCTGTGTGTGTGGGTATGTGTGAGTGTCGTGGGAAAGCAGACGGATAATGGTTAATCATATTTTTTCTAAAAACAAAACATGAACGAGACAGTCAGTTGTAAAAAAAGCAAAACAGAAGAAGAAGTAGAAGAAAGAAGCCACCGAACCGACAAATTACTACCGTCTTTTTCCTTTATTTTTTAAAAAGCCACAAAGAAGACACACACAGAGATAGACCAAAATATTCCCATGCCACAGCCTCATTTTAAGAAAGAAAAATTAGTTATCACAAGAAAAAAAGGTAAAAATTGAGGGAGAGTGCGTGGTTGGTAAAAAAACAACAACATTCAATTCCAAAAATTCGTTAAATTCCATTCAACGATGTTGCTGTTTTATTCGGATGCATACTGTTACTGTTACTGGAGATGTCGTTTGAATAATTCAAGGCGGCGTTCATGTTATTCTGGACACTACTATTATTATTATATTGCTTACTAGTAGTAGTAGTAGTAGTATCATTAGAATTTCCTGTGGTCAAATGTAATGGTGCTAAAAATTCACCATACAGACGCAATAGATGATGTAATGCCAGTGCCATTTGATTACTTCCACCAGCGACAAGAACACAATCAACAATATGCGGATATAACTGGATAACACTAGACCAGATTGAATCATCCACTGTAAGTTCATATGTTCACAGATGCGCCAGATCCGACCGACGACATAATTCCCGTCAGATAGAAATACAAAAAAAAACAAAAGAAAAAAGACAAGGTAGAATGAATTATTAGACGAGGAAATAAATAAATAAATTTGTAAATGAAAAATCCCCATATTGAAATCGAAACAAGATTTTGAGCGAACAATTGTCGTTTCGCCCGGCCGATAACTGCTACCTTGTCGTGGTGGTCGGGCTCTGAATACCACAGTGACCCAACATGCTAAACTGACTGGGATTCATGTCCCTGCAGGTCCTACCATGTTAGGAAGGTTGTTAGGATAGCGGTTAAACTAAAAGCAGTTACCATGGGGTACATGGGCTCCAGTATCCAATCGGATCAAATGGCGTATGAATCCATATTGGTCACTGTAAACCATGGGAATGCAGCTCCTGACACTGCTCCGCTGCCTTTCGGATTAGACTCCAAGTTAAAGGCTCGGGGCGGGGGTGGTCCCTTAATAGAACCACCTGCTTCGGTCTGGGCGCCCGGGCAGTATCTCAGCTGTCACACAATGAATTGAATAAAGCAACAAACAATCAATGAAACTTATCGTGTGTTATTACACGTGTTGGAATTTCCTTCTTTCTTTCCTTCCCTATGATAGTTAACGAATACTGTTTGAACTTGTTAAGCATGACTGTTTTCCTTCTAGATGAAGTTCTTTATCCGTTCTCTACTTATATATATATATATATATATATATATATATATATATATATTTCCCCTCTTTCTTTTTTTTCCTTTTGATCTATGTTGTTTTATTATTATCGTGTGGCGCATCCTTCTTGGTGCCATATTGTACCAAGTTTATATGCGTTTAAATAATAATAATAATAATAATAATAATAATAATAATTGTGCTTTCCATAACTTCTTCTTCAGGCTCTACAGTTATAAATCCATGATTAATAGATTACACATATAGCCAATAAAGGCAAACGAAAATAGTATCAGAAACTACATTGGGGGTTGCATGTGTAAGTTGAGATGATAGTCGTCCATTAGTTAACATAGTCAATCAAATGTGTATAGGGGGTGTATAGTCAGAAAAAATGTGATGAAGTGTGAATGAACAATTGGGTGGTATATACTGTTGTTTTATAGTCAACAGAATACAAGTGTCGTCACTGGGGTGAGAGAAATGCGATAACCAAAAAAAATGCATACAAACACACATTAACAAAGGGGACATTGAATATGAAGGCTAATCGATAATGTCTAATGATAAAATAAAGTGGCTAAATTGTAAATTGTAATAAGATGTTACAGAATTGGCAGGCTTAGTATAAAAAATCACAAAGGTTGACAAAGATTAAGTGGAACGATGGGGTGAAATAAACTGGGTGGTGAAATGGATAATAAAGACGTCATATCACAAAATGATAATAATGATGATAATAATAATACGAAAAATTATGATCCTGGTGACCTTATAGTGGGCCAGGGTAGACAGAGAGAGTGAATAAGTTTCTCCTGTACACATAGGTCTGGTCTCTCTCTCTCTCTAATAATCACTATAGCCTCAGCTATAGCCATAGCTAGGAGGCGTAATCTTATGTCTTTGAGGAGATTGTTCAGTACTCGATACACAATTGTAAATGACTCATCCACTTTGATGTAGTGTTCGCCATCCACTAGATGAGACAGAATTGCACTATTTAATGACTTGGTTGCTCTTTTCCCAAGCCAAACAGGAATATGTTCACAAGTGCGTAAAGATAAATTCCTTTGGTTACGACCTATATAACTTGCTCCACAGGAGCAGTTTGCGAAAATACTATGTGGTCACAACACACACACACACACACACACTAAATTTACTGTTAAGTAATGCAATCATAGTCACGACAGGGACAACGGTTGAACGTATTTCTTTTGGATACATAGCGTGAGTTTGAGCTTTTGGATGAATGGCTAGTGCCTCAGCTATGCCCAGATGTCTTAATTTTACTCCGTTTGATAGGTTTGACTGTGTATAAAGTTCAGTGACAAGACATCTGGTCAATTCAGGATATTCAACTCCATTCGAAAAATCCTTCAAAATCATATACAAGATTTGATCAAACGCTCTTTCCTCGAGGATTTAGAAGATATGCAGAGAGGAAGTGATTGATGAAGAACCGCGTAATCTCAAAACTACCCCGTGATGGAAAATCGTTTTCCGCCTAGGTTCACAGACAAAACTCTAAAATCAAAGAAGACCCCTGAACAAGTCCAATCCGTCCCGAAGAAGATACTTCTGCTTTTAATCTAGAATTCAAAGGTGACACTGAAGCAGAAATCCTTCGTAAACGCCTCCGAGAATCTCTGAGGAAAACATACTTCGCCGAAAGCCTACGACTGACGTTTTTCTGCAAGAAACTGCCCAGCTAGAACGTGAAAGACAAACTGTCGCATTGGGCCAACTTGGCTAGTCCACATCGATTTCATCTGCTCTCACAAATTCTAAAAACTTCAATCCTGTATCTTCTCATATCTTCAGCTATGTGGGAAGCCTTCCCGGTTTTGTGCACTGTATGAACACTCCTCGTGATCATTCTTATTCTTGTTTTCATTGCGAGAAGATATATTGGCTGACTGAACGGCTTTCCGAAGGCTGGTCTTCCCCAGGCCGATGTGTCATTTCGACTCTTCGATTCCAGCGAAGAATGAAATCGTTATTTGAATTTTTTTGTATTTTTAATATTTTACTTGTGCGTTGAAGTTTTTGTAGCATTTCGATTGGTTTTCCGTGGTAGGGTTCCTAGCTTCACTCCCGTCCAACCCTCCATCTCTACAGGGGTTTGGCACCGGATAGGAAACTAGCAACCTGGTACACTAGCCGCAAGGTTGTTTTCTGGTACATTTAATAAATTAAATCAGTATCATTGCAGTATTGTAAGTCAGGCATTTATAAATTCCGCCTGTTTAAAAAAATGCTAACGTGTCATTCTCGTCTCACTGAGCACACTAATCAACACTAAAGCTCCTAGGTTCAAATTCTATTGGGGAGCATGGTCTTTCACTGATGAAGAGTCCGAGAGTGTGACGAATCACCTATCCAGTGGTTTTTGATATTCAGTAACCTATAAGTGGTATTGCTTTGTGACGAAATTCACTGAAAGTACTTGATTGTGTCTCTTCTATGTTGTATCTATCAATTTTACTGCAGCTGCGGAGTAGTTAGCTACAGTGGGAGTACAATTTAGGCAGGTTCACCACATCGTATTTCCTAACAACATCCTGGATGGTGGGGTTAAGCTAAGGGTGAGAAACGATCTTTTCGTATTATTGTTTTAGTTTTCATATTTTTTTTTGTTGCTCAAATCATAACGCCACTGAAATGCTCACTTCCACTTACAAGACAGAAAAAATTTATTACGTCACATCATTGAGAAAATAAGCATGTTTTATAATCATAAAAAGAAAAAGCTCGTGTAAAACTTTACTAAAAATTTATGTCGTCTAGACAGCTTACGTTAGAAAAGCTCACACACTCTGTCTCTTTCTCTCTGTGTCCTTCAAAAATTAGACTAGTGATTATGACGTCACAATGTAACAATCACGAAAGCCTATTTTTGATTAGGCTCGCCAACAGAGACCTCAACGCAAAGAAAAATATACTAAAAATTCGAAAAAATCAAATAACGATTTCATTCTTCGCTGGAATCGGGAGAGGAGAAATGAAACATTGGGCTAGTGAAAACCAACCTTCGGAAAGCCAGTAAGATCCAGCCAATGTGCCTTCTCTCAATGAAACCAAGAATAAGAATGAGCACGAGGAGTGTTCATACGATGCAAGAAACCGGGAAGGCTTCCCACATAGCTAAAGATATGAGAAGATATAGCTTATAAGTTCCGGGTATCTACGAGAGCGAATGAAATCGATGTGGACTAGCCAAAGTGTCAACTGGAGAGCCAGGAATCTACTCCAGTCACCATCTCCACACAACAACCACACTGAGACAGTGAGCGACTATCATGATGTCACCAACACTAAACAACCAAGGCTATTATGTGCAGTGACAACCAATCTCCTCCTACACGATAATGCCACTAAGATTCAACTCACAGGAGAGGAAAGGGTACAATCATCCACTGATACGCACATTGCTACAAACGACTCAGAAGAAAACAAGAAGGGAGATTTCTGTAGACAATTGTAAACATTGCTGGACAACATCCAAAATGTCGACATTACAATCTGTGTGGACGATATGAATTCAAGCTTAACTGGGAGCAGATACGACAAGAAGAGAACTCATCATGGGTGGAGAAGTTGTCTCTCGGTGAAATGAATGAGAATGTCCAGTCAGCCGGCCAGAAACAATTAGCACCAAGAAATCCTAGATGGCAACAAACCAACAAACGAGAGGCGATTGCTTAACAAATATGTAGGAGAAAATGGAGGCATATCAGGCACATACTGAAGTGACCATCAAATGACGTCGCACAAGATTCAGGCCACTGTTTGAGTAGAGCCTGGATCAGAAACAACGAGTAGGTTGTCAGTTCGATGGTGACGTATAGAGGAGATCGTGAGCTGGATAGAAGGAGGAGATGAGAGATTATGGTCAATCGTGGGGTCGGTCAGCTGAAGAGGACACCACCAAACAGAACAAAATGGATGTGTGTTGTTGAATCGCTACGTTCCACTTTGAACCTCAGGGAATAATAATAATAATAATCCCAGAAAGCATTTTAAACACTAAAGATGTAGCTTCATTAAGTGTTCTACAACATTGTTTGTCTCAATTCGTTTGTTAGAATTGAACTATTAGGGACAAATTGCTTATGTACCCCAATACATGTTAGAGGTTGGTACGACTCTGCTCAGTTGTGTAGAATAAACTAGGTGGGGGACAGAACAAGTTGAAAGACAGTCGGTGAATCCAGTCACATCCCCACTTTTTTTCATTACTTTGCATTCCAAGTGGAACACACAGGACTTCAAGGTTGAGTTATGAAGTCTCAGTGTGGTGACAGCTGACTGTTAGCCAAAATTAGTAGACAGTCATTTACGTCAATGTTTTACCGTCCCCAATATTCGTCGTGAGAAAAATAAGAACAAAGACTGATTCAACAACCGATCACAGAAAACTTTTCGTAGGCAGATACAATTTGCAGATAGATAATCTGAACTTCAAGAAACAGCCACAAAGAGATGAAAGATTGAATTTCAGTGGGAAACCACCAATCGGAAGACAGTGTTTTTCTGCTAACAATAATCTATAATAATGTACATGAAAATATATAAATATGTAAAAACAGTTTTTTGTTTGTTCAGCGTAGAAATTTCTTTTCAACGACTTCATTTTCAAGCTGTACAGTCGTATTTATATTACAGAAAAAGTTATTAAGTGGCACTAAATAATTGCTCAATCAATATACACATATATAAGTGATAAGAATAACGATAGTTAAATTGTGTGGCTGAACAGTATCCGGTTTGGTTAATGAAAGGCGAACGTAGAACTGCGAAGTCGTCTATTTGTGATCATCTGTTAGAGTCTGGTCATTCAACCCCACGTGATTCATCCTTCAAGGTTATCTACATGGTAAAAGCGAATCGTTCCAAAAGTTTACACGTTTTCTTCACTTATGCATAGCTAGCCGAAGCTTTGGCTATACATGTACAGAAACCTAAATTATGTGTTCAAAAAAGTTTTGTCAAACCCCTCCCTTTCTTTACCTTGGTCATAATAATTTTCTTTCTAGTTTTTATTTTATTTTATTTACCTACTTGAATTCATTCCACTTCACTTCACATCTTTACTCTTATCGTAATCGTACTCCCAATTTTTTAAAATGTTTAGACAACGCTTGACATTTTTAGAAATATTTTTGATATCAATTCACTTATAAAACAATCTTTAATAATTTTGTAATCCTTCCACTTCAACTCTACCTCTTATAACATTTTAATTATCGTCATTCTTATCACATGTATATATGTATATTGACTGAGCAATTATATAGTGCCACTTAATAACCTTTTTCTGTAATATAAATACGACTGTACAGCTTGAAAATGAAATCGTTGGAATGAAATTTCTTCGCTGAACAAAAAACTGTGCTTTTACTTATGAATAAATGGGTATTTTTCGTGATATAAATATGTATTCAAGTGTTGGTTTGTAGCGATTTGATTGGTTTCAGGATTTCATCATCATCATATGTGTTGAATTCTTAAATAAAGGATCTGTTGCCTAGGCCTTGTCTTCTGTTGTTACACCAGTAGTGTAGTGGTGACTTGGGTTTTTTTTTTAACCAGGATTACAGACGATTACACAATAGTGAAGATCGAGTCGGCGGGTGATGATGGGATCTAGACCACACAAGTATTCCATTCTACCAGTGGATCAGCGACGCCGACACAAACACAATCGAGTAAAATAATATATATATGCTCACTAAGAAAAGTAAACCCACCAACTTAACTTACCATCTTGTTGGATTGGAATAGACTGAAGGGATGTCAGCATAACTGTTAACGCCTTGAATACATAACTGATTTCGGACAAACGAGCACTACACAAAAATATAAAAAATGGAGGAAACCAATGAGAGAGAGAGAGAAAAAAAGCAGTGTTAGAGTAAACACATCAAATCTTTTTCCAGTTTCAAATATAATATTAATTAATAAACATAATAAAGTTGGTCATCGACCCCCCGACGAAATCAGGCGTCCTGAATGCAATGAAGATGCTAAAAGCTCGAAAAGCAGCAGGACCAGATGGAATCCCAGCAGAAGCATTGAAAATGGACCCAGAGACAACCGCGGACTTGATGACACCATTGCTGGAGAAGGTGTGGAAAGAAGGCAAAGTACCCAAGGATTCGAAGAAAGGATACTTATTCAAACTACCAAAGAATAATAATAATAATAATAATAATAATAATAATTGCTTTATTCCAAAAACAGTACTCATGATACAGCAAGGAATTTTCAGCATTCAGTACAATATTGCATCTAATTTACCCAAAAACGACAAAAAAAATTAAAAATACACAATACATAATAGTAATAAAACGATTGTTGTAGCAGCTACGTAGCAAAATACTGTGTGCCATACGGAGAAAAATATGTATAAAGTACAAAATTGTAGTAATAATAGTAATACCAACTAATATAAAATAGCAGAGTAACGATTTAAACGATAGAAAGTGTAACACCATAAAATACAGAAAGATGAGCGATAAAAGGGTCGATTCACTGTGCTAATTACATAGTAACTTGTAAGTTTCACGTCTAACAGAGTCTTCGTCACATAAAGTACGCGCTAAATAGGGTATTGTAGAATTTCTATACTTAGTAGTACGAGCATATATCTTTTTATATTGACTTCTCGTCCTACCTGATGAGATACAAGGGGACAGGTGTGAATAAAGGGGGTGCAGAGGGTCTGACATTATAGCCTTTGCCCATTTCGTACAGGAATTTATATGCCTCTCGACTATAGTATTAGCGAGCTCATGCAGTGGCAGACCACAAGCTCTACTCACAGCATTTAATACTCTTCGTAATATGATATAATCTTTTTTGAGCAGCCCAGGAAAGATTAATGGAGAGCAGTAGAGTACAATAGGTAAAATACAGGAGTTTAAAAATTGCAAAACTAAAGGTTGGTTGATACCTGATTGTCTTAACTTTTTAATGTAGAAGGTAAGACGAAACATTTTCTTAGAGATAGATAAGATATGGGATGACCATGAAAGGTCAGAGGAAAAAACTAGTCCAAGGTATTTAATACTTGATTTGGTTTCAATTTCCGTGCCATCTATGCTACAGGGATCATGAGAGTTAACTAGTTCAAGTAAGTCACGTCGATGCTTGAAAGTAAAGTCAAGCACCTGACATTTGGAAGGATTTAATATAAGACCATTTGACTTGGACCAGTTGTTGATGTCCAACAGAAAGCTATTAAGTTTGGAGCTGTCAGACTCGGAAGTGATAGGCAGTGATACAGTCAGATCATCTGCATATTTGACAAAGTTAGTTTCGTTTGAATGAGGCAGGTCATGTAGGAAGAAAGAAAAAAGAAAAGGAGAGAGGACAGCACCTTGTGGAACACCGGATTTTGTAAGCGAGGTAGAAGAAGATTTGCCGTTATATACAGTATACTGCATTCTATCAGAAAAATAGGAATGCAACCAACTCTTAGCCCAGGATCCTGTTTGTGTCAATGATAGCTTATTTAATAAAAGGCCCCTAGGTACAGAGTCAAAAGCAGATGTGTAGTCTAAGAAAGCACTACGAACATATTTAGCACCTTTGTCTAAACAAGAGACAACATTGTGATACAAGACAACCGCAGCATCCAAGGTACTTCTACCATGTTTGTATGCAAATTGTTTAGGATCATTAAAAGGTTTCAAAGCGGGTTCAAGACGAAGTAAAAGTAATTTTTCCATCAATTTTAAAAAGGGGGAAGTAATTGCAATAGGCCGAAATTTAATATCAGAACCAGAAGATGGTTTTGGTATAGGGATAATTTTAATGTTTTTCCATGCAAAAGGTAGAACGTTACCGGAAAAAGAGGCATTAAAAATGTTAGTAAGAGGATAACACAAAATATCAGCACAATTCCTGAGGACAATGGCAGGTATGCCGTCAGGACCAAGGCTTTGAGAAGGCTTAAGAGACCGGAGACATTTAAGCACATCAAGGGTATTAAAACCACTAAAGTTATTGTCAATATGATTTGTATCATTTGGAAGGGTATCAACAGAAGAGCGTATGAAAGATTTATTAAGAGTGTCAACATTAAGAGATGGAACAGAAATACATCGCTTACCGTTAGTAATTTCTTTGAAAAGTTTCCATAAATTAGAAGGGGTTTTACATGACAAAAATCTTTGATTATATAAAACACTTAGTCTTTTTATTTCCAGTTTTATCAGCATGTTTAACTTTTTTACACCAGGCTTATCATTAGTTTTGAACAACAGTTCTTTATTTCTACGTAGCTTTTTGAGATATGGCGAAGATAAGCGATCAAATCGGATGAATAATGTTTCTTTAGGACAACATATTTCGAAACAGAATTTAAGATAATCGGTAGTGTTTGTGATTGTTTCATCTAATGTTTGTTCTGTAAATAAGTCCCAGTTAGTGTCTTTCAACATGCATCTGAGCTTGTCTAGGTTGTCTTTTGAGTAGCATCTCCGTTGAACTTTACTGCAGAGGTGAGAGAGGACACCTTTGTGTGATTTGGAATATATTTTAGGCAGCACACGTATGATGCAGTGGTCAGAATTAAGTAGAGGAGCACGTTTGCGAGCTTCATATATACCAAGAAAGGAGACTTAAGTCAATGCAAAAACTGGGGTGGAATTATGGTCCTGTCCATCCCGAGTAAAATACTAAGCCGCATCATCCTGGAGAGAATCAAACAAACACTGGATGCAAAACTTCGACCGGAACAAGCTGGATTCAGGAGAAACAAGTCATGCGTTGATCAAATCGCCACTCTACGGATCATCATTGAACAAAGCTTGGAATGGCAGTCACCTGTCCATCTCAACTTCATTGACTTTGAAAAGGCCTTCGACAGCGGAGCGGTGATCGGGAGGTGATTTGGCAACTACTTCGCTACTACGGGATGCAACCGACAATTATACATCTCATCCAACAGTTATACGACAATGCTGCATGCCAAGCAATCCACAACAGGAAACTTACGGAAGCCTTCGAAGTGAGGACGGGAGTGAGGCAAGGCTGTCTATTATCGCCAATGATCTTCCTGATTGCAGTAGATTGGATAATGCGACAGACAACGGCAACCAACGAGGGAACAGGCATAAAATGAACTCACACAAAAAACTTGGAGGATCTGCACTTCGCCGATGATATATGTCTGATTTCCCACAAACTGGAAGATATGCGAGTGAAAAGCAACAAGCTGGCAGATGAAGCATCCGGAGAAGATAGGCCTTCAGGTGAACATAGATAAAACAGAGGTGATGAAGATTCCTGGCCAACAACGACAGACAACAATTAGCCAGCATAATGGAAGGAATCTGAAAGAAACAACCTCCTTCACCTACCTACCTGGGAGGCATCGTTTCGACTACAGGCGGACAGAACTGATGAAGATATCAAAGCAAGGATGGGGAAAGCAAGACAAGCCTTCATTACTCTCAAGTCTGTGTGGAGGTCAACAGCACTCAGCATCGAAAATAACATCCGGATTTTCAATTCCAATGTAAAGTCAGTGCTACTATACGGATCAGACACTTGGCGAGTCATAAAGAGCAATTCAAACAAACTACAGACCTTCATTAACAGCTGTCTTCGCTCAATACTATTCAAGATCAGATGGCCGGCCAGAAAAGATCAGAAACAGGCAGCGATCTCTGGCAATGAGCGAATCAACCAACCAGGAACCAATTGTGCAACGAATAGGCAGGAAGAAATGGAGGTGGATTGCATTGGCCATACTCAGAGGAAACAAATCATCAAGTGACATCACTAGATAAGCCATGGCTCGAGTGGAACCCGCCCAAAGGGAAGAGGCGAGTCAGTTGGTCGTCAGTGCGAGAGTGGGGTGACTTGGAGGAGGTCATGTGAAGAGGACATGAAAACATGTGGGCAGACTTGGAGCGAGGTGAAAAAGTTGGCAGAAAACCAAAGGCAATGGAGACGCGCAGCTGAAGCCCTATGTTCCTCTAGGAATTAAAGGAAACAATAATAATAATAAATTTCTGCATGTAAGGCTGAATCTCTATTATAATAACCTAAACACCTACTTCGTTGTTATGATATCGTGAGAAAAAAGTAAAAAAAAATACCAAAAAAAAACAAGAGAAAAATAAGAAGAGAATAAAATGTAAGAAACATCAGAGATTATCGAGAGCGATAAAACGGACTTATACTGCCGCCACCCTCTGTTTGTCATTTTCCAGCCGGCTAATTTTGATTGCTCAAGTGAAAGATAAGTTACCTAGTTGTGCCACTTCCATGTGTATCTATAAATTTAGTTGCTCCTGTGGAGAAAGCTATATAGGCCGAACAACTAGACAGCTTAACAAACGCATTAATGAGCATCTTCCTTCATGGTTCGGAAAAGGTCAAATAAAGTCCATACGAAGTTCTATTTTGGCTCATTTGATTGATGGTGGTCACCAAGTGGACAAAAATAGTGCTTTCAAAGTTATTTACCGCATTCCATCAAGTCTTTCGAACGGAATCAGAACCCGTCTTTTACACTTAGCCGAAGCTATGGGAATTCGAGAGAACAATCCTAGTCTTTGTATACAAAAGAAATTTGTTCTACCTTTGTCTCTCCCTTGGCCTAGGTGAATTCTATTCAAAACCCTCCCACCCTTTCTTATCATCCCTCTCCTTCGTACTTTTATGATATTTATTTAAACTCTGATTATCGTTCCATTTGATTTGACCTAATTTATTTATTTATTGAATTGTCTACATATATGCATATACTAACTTTGTTATTCTTATCACCTATATAAGCCTTATTAACAATATTTTGTTATTATTATAATCATCGCTATTAACTTCGTTCAAA